GAAGTCACTTTCTTCTAAAAGAAGTGAAAGCAAAAAGAAGAAAACTGAAGCTAAATTGAGGGAAATTAACTTCATCAGAGAAGTGACGACAGTGGCTGCTCAGTCTGGAGACAAAAATTGAGGCAGCTGAAGGAATTCCATGAAGTGCCTTTGTGCATGGGATAATCCATTGAGAGACAATGGATGGGAAGTGGAACTCAAGCAGCAGGAACACAGTGCCTCAATCCATCATTCATGGAAAGCTACTGCTGATGTCTGAATAACAAGCCAAAGAGGGTGAACTTTCAACCTTTTTTTTTAATACTAGGATCTTATTTCAAGTCTTACTTATCAAACTTAAGGGGAAAACTCCTCTCATATAAAATAGCACATACATTTTAATTTCTGCTGATGTATTTTTCCTTGAAAATCTTTAGAAAGATATATGTAGGGCTGTTCCATATGTTATACCTGCTGTATACTGCTACATATGTCAGATTTCTATCCATGAATAAAAATACATTTGTTGTATCACACTCTAGTTCAGTTAAGCTCTTTTGCAAATGTTCAATGACTGACTCTCTTATACCTTGTTGGCTGTAAGATGACCTTTATCCTCTCAAAGCTGTCACACATTCATTTTGTAAAAATTGGGGAAGCATTTAACAATGTAAATATTGCATTTGTAAAAATTTTAGAAGTATTTTGCGCTTAATTTATGAAATGTTGAAGTGCTTAACTCTGAACAGCCTGTAAAAATCTTATCTTCGAAACCTTCGATTCCTGCTTGGGAGTTCAGAGGGTCTTTCATTCACCTTAAAGCAGGTGAGGTGATTTCACTAGTTTTGAGTGTTGACCACACAGGAATGCCAGAGTGAGGAAGCATCACCCACTGGCAGTAAATTAATAATTTGAATTGTAGTAATTAATAATTTGAATTATGGAATCCTTAAGGTTGGAAGATACTTCCAAGATCATCAAGTCCATCCTTGGATGGATTATCATCATGGCCAGTAAACCACATTGTGAATGTCATGTCTACTCATTTCTGGAATATTTCCAGGGATGGTGGCTCCCTTGCTTCCCTGGGGAGCCTGTTCCAGTGTTTAACCACTCTTCCAGTGAAGAATTTTTTCCTAATATCTAACCTAAACCTTCCCTGGTGATTGATGCCCTCAATAATAACATTTAGAGGTTCTTTTAAAATCCAAAAGGGAAAAAATGAACTATACTTTTTTTTTCTCCAGTTTTGCTTGTAATCTTTCCATAGTAATCCATACCCTCATCCTCTCAGTACTCATTGTCCCCAAACTTCTTTTTCAGAATATTCCTCTCCCAGAGAAATCAGTCCCTTAGGGTCTCTCAAAAAACAGAGTAAGGAGATAAATCCCTTTGCTTTACCAGAGGTTTAAATGCTATTTTTTTTCCATTTGACTGTGCCCTTGGAGTATACAACTTGTTTTTCCAAAGGTTTTTACCCTAATTGCTCACACCTACATTGCAGATGCCAGTGGCATTTGGTTCTCTGGCTTATGGTATTTTCTTTGGTTGGTTATTTCCCAATTAATCAAAGCTTTGAATCAGCAGAGCTTCATTAATAGTCAGTTACAACTTCTGTGTAATACATGACTGGATGCTTAAAAGACAAAAGCTGAAATTATCTTACTAAAAACCCTTTGGTTCTTCCATGAGAAAGCCTTATAACGGCAGGAAAAGAAAGTAAGGAGTTAAACAAGATATGGAGTGAAGGATGAGCTTAAAGGATGGGACCGAAAAGTAAACAAAAGTTAAAGTACAACTACCCTAAATTTGAAGCTCACGATCATCAGCATTTCTTTTCTTTCTCATAAAAGACTGGCAATGTTTTATCCCTTCCAACAACCACCCAACACTCTTCCTGTCTTACCTTTGTTCTCACTTTGACTTTTTTTACATTAAGAGAGTTTATATAAGGCGTTGTAGAGTGGGTTTTTTTTTTGGGTTTGGGTGTTTGTTTTTTGTTTTTTTTTTAATGAGTAAAACTTCAATGATATCTTCTTTAACTAACTGAAGGTCAAACTTACTTTAAACTAACTAAAGGTCAAGCTTACTTGTCAGCCCTTTTTAGACCACCAGTGGGTGACCATAGCTTTGAAGGCTGTTGTATAATTCCCCATTCATACCTCTGTCAGAGCAGTATCTATGTATTTCATTACTGAAAAGAAAATGTATTTGAAAGCCATTGGCTGAATATTTGCTTACAAAATTTATTTTAACATTTGTGCTCAAATCTGCTGCTGAATAAATGCGTTAATTGAATGATCAGATGACCAACTGTATTTATTTGACATGTCTTGGGGATGTCTTCTTTGTCTCTTACTGGGATCAACCTTTTCTCAAAATATATTCTCAAACATATTATTTCAAATATAATATTCTCTATATATTATTTATCAAAATATATATAACAAAACATGTCTGCTCTTGCCAAAGGAGAGCTCTTCCTGTTCTTCTAAGCCTCCTGCAAACTGTTTACCTTTCAGCTTCCTCTCATTTCCTTGCTATTGGTTAAATTCCAGATATATGTGGAAAACTTGACATACTCAGTGCCTTTTTACCCACTCTGGAAAAGTGAAGTAGAATCAGGCAAACTAGAACACAGCTGGATGCTGGCCATGGACTTTTTCCAGGATATCTTCCAAGTAGGTGAAACGTCCAGATCTGTCCTCCGGAGCCCCTGGGATCAGCACCAGGCTCAGGGTGAGCCAGGCCAAGAGCAGCTTTGCTCAGGTCCCTCTCCCAGCCTTGCTCAGGTCCCTCTTGTTGAGGAAGATGAAACAGGAAAGCCTTATAAATATGATTGTCTGGCAAAAGATTTTGAGAATATAGAAACTGTAAGCGAGATGGAAATGAAAGCAAGCTTTGAGATCTCTCAGTTAGTGAACAAGTGGAAAACAATGGTGTGGCCAGCTGAAGGTAATCCCCTTTTGCTGAAACAATGCCCTCTGCTTGCAGACAGGCCCAAGGGTCAGAGCAGACCCTACCAGCTTGGCAGAAGGTGTCCAAAGAGGAGTTTTTAGGGTTTAAAATGTAACACAGTATGGTAATGTAGTGATTCTTATTGGCTGCATGGAAATGCTCTAGGATTTGTATATTGTACTAGATTGGCTAGTGAGAATCAGAATATTCAGCACAGATGATGATTTATTGTATTGAAACGGGAACCTTGCTCTCTTAGCTCTTGCTTCTTAGCTCTTACTTTTCTATGCTCTTACCCCTTTTACTCTCTTATGCTTTTACATTCTTACCCTCTCATCCTCTCTACCCCTTTCTTCTCTGGGGCCTGCTGTGAGCTGTGGCTGGCAGCTCCCAGCAGGGCCCTGCACCCAGGCCCTTTGTAATAAACCCCAAGTTCCAGGACCTGGCTTCAGAGATCTCTCGTCTCCTTCCGTCCCAATTGTGCTATTCCCCGACGTTCCTACACTCTCCCAGCCTGGCTCAGGTCCCTCTCTCAGCCTTGCTCAAACTCCTCTCCTAAGCTTGCTCAAGGCCCCAGTCCCAGGTTTGCTCAAGCCCCTCTCCCAGGCTCCCCGCCATGTGCCAGGACTCTTTTCCTCTAGGTCTCTACACCCCCATTCCCTGGGGAATTTCCCCATTCCCTCCTCTCCTCTGCCTCTGGCCATGTCTCTGCAGGGACGCTGACACTTTTGGGAGAGGAGGACAAGGTGCTCAGCCTTGAGGCACTGCATGCACCTCACATATCCTTCAGGTTCTGGCCTTAAGGCCACTTGCAACTTCATGTTGAAGATTTCTGTTGGAAAACTCTTCCAAACATTGTTCTGTGGGCTGTGACTCAATTTTTCCATCCTGTCTTGCCCTTGTCTTGCTCTTTCAACACCTCCTGCTCTGCTGTTCCCTCTCTGAGACACCTGAGTTAGGCTGTACCTCAGCCCCCTTTCCTCAGCCAACAGAGGACATCTTTTCCCAGTGCTGTGTCCAGTTCTGGGATTCCCAGTACCAAAGAGATATGGACAGACTGGAGAGAGTCTAGCAAAGGGCCACAAAGGTACTGGAGTGTTTGCAACATCTCTCGCATGAGGAAACAGAGAGAGGTGGGAGTTCGGCCTAGAGGAGGGAAGACTCAGCAGGATCTTATCAGTATAAACACCTGAGGGGAGGGTCAAATAAATAAGAGCCAGGCTCTCCTCAGTGTGTGCCCAGTGCCAGGACCAGAGGCCATGGACACACACTGAAACACAGGAGGTTTCAGGAATTTTCAGGAGGTTCAGCTCTGAACACCAGGAAACACTTTCATATGGTGAGAGTGACTAAGCACTGGCACAGGCCGTCCAGGAGATGTGGAGTCTCCCTTCTTAGGGTCATATAATTTTATAGGTCCTTGGAGATATTCAAAACCTGTCTGGACATAGGCTGGGGCAAGTAGCTCTTGGTGGCCCAGCTTGAAAGGGGGATTGAACCAGAAAAATTCCAGAATCCCCTCCAACCTTAATAATTCTGTGATTTCAAATCCCCAATGAGTTCAACAGAATCAAAGTTATGCTACCCATAAACAGTTCTGTGAAAAGGCCTGGAAAGCATGGGAGATAGGAATTGCACAATCTGAAAACAGAAAAGGTGTCCTGTTTCCTCAAAACTTGAGAAAAATAACAGACTGTCAGGCTGATGGATTTATTTGAGGCCTGCAACTGGGTTATGTGAAGAACTGAACAGAGATTCTCATACTAAGTGTGTGAGTACTGTTTTAACTGTGTAAAAACAGATACATCTGCTCTCAGCTTGTGAGTCTCACATTCATACATCACACACTTTAAAAAAAAATTAATCTCTTTGCACTACACCCCTGGGCAGTGGAATTTTGATTCCTCAGGGGTATCAAGGATATCTGTGCTAAAGGCAAAAACATGATTAATCAGTAACCTGGACAGCATGCAGAATTTATGGCTTTTATGGCAAATGTCAGGTTGATGACCTGAAGTTATCCCTGTACTTGGACTTTCACACTTGCCCAGTGACCCATACTCACCCAGTTACATTGGTTAGCAAACATATATATATGCTCCTGTACCCTTCTGAGCGTTCATTAGGAAGTACATGGGAAGAGAACAAGAATAAAACACATCCTTCTATAGAAAAAGTTTTATGGACTAACACAAGAGCCTCTCAAGCACAATTATTTCAGGAGAACAGAGATCCAGAGTTCACATTTTCTCTTTTCTCTTCCGTGGCAAATACTTGGCTGAATAGAGATGGGCTGGAACAGCAGCACTTCCATTGGTTTTGTGTTTATCCTGGCTTTTCTCTCCATTTTGAAAACAGCAGGTTTCTGGAACAGCAGCACTTCCATTGTTTTAGTGTTGATCGTGGCTTTTCTCTCCATTCTGAAAACAGCAGGTTTCTGGAACAATGACCGAAGACAGAACTTTCCTCCAGGTCCAAGACCATTACCTATAATTGGAAACCTTCTTTTGTTTGACTTGAAGAGACCCTACAGGACTTATCTAGAGGTACTCATTTTCTTTTCTATTGGTCCTATCAACGAAGTCCCATAGTCCAAGATGTCAGAGAGTTTCTCCTGTTGCACCCAATGTATTGCATCCATGCATGAGCCTTTAGCCAGGGACCCAGAGATGGTTATTTGAGCAGAAAATGCTGAATGCAGCATGGTTTCTTGACTGTAATATTTTATCCAGGTTTCAACCTTCAACAATTTTCACATTAATAGCAAGCATCCACCTTATTTTTGTGGCAATTTTGAGAAAAAGACAACAGAATAAGGAATTATTTTGGTAGGTGGTGTAACCCTCTCTGCCTTCAGCTGATTGATGTACCTGGAGCTGTGACTGCAGCATCTTGACTTCACTGATTTGTCAACGTTCTCATCTCCCTTTCCTGTTTTCTTCCCCAAAAGCTGAAGATATAACTATATACTCTTAATATTCAGGGCCAACCTTTGCCAAAATAATAAATCTTTCCGTTTTCTTCTAGTGCTTTCTTTACCTAATTTATTGCAGGGCTTTGCTGACTTTGAGTGAGAAGACTTCTCTGAATCTGCTCTTTTCTTAGAGTTTTTTCTGTTTAGACATTAAAATTACACATCTACCCTGCTGATGATTTTGAAAGGCATATTTGCACCAACAAACCTGTATGGGTGTTGTACCCACAAATCAAAAGACTGCTTAGATGCAATATCTGGAATATCACTGTAGCTCTCCTACACAGCCCAATTGTGTTGACAAAAGCAAGTTCCATCTGTTTTCAGGCCAGCAGAACCAACATGTATCTGCTGTAATTCAGTGATTCCTTTCTGGTGCTGGATACTGGCTCTCTGACTTGAGCACATTTCAGATATGGGTCACTGCTCCTGCTGTTTCAGCTGACTGTACTTGCTCACCACTTGCTGGACATTTTGCATCTTGATGCTAAGTGGATGACTTCTGTTTCTCTCTGCAAACCCACTAGAAAATGAGCGCAGTCAGGAAACCTCTCTCCAGCAGTCAGAAGAATCAGAAACACTGAGTTACATAAAGAAAAATCTACCTGTATCAGCTAAAAAGCTACCACATTGTCTCTGAGGCAGACTCATGGTTCATGTAATCATGTATAAAAAGCTTGAATGTATCTAATGCTAAATCCTGGCCCAGAAACAAATGGATTCATTTTTAATAAAATAATGGTATGAAACATTTGAACAGTTTGTTCAGGTGTAGCTTGTGCACAAAAGAAACACAATAGCATGGAGCTAAGTGTGAAAACTTGAGTCAAAAATTGATTTTACAAGGGTTTACAAAGTTCTTTTGTAAACTTTTACAAAGTTCTGTCTGAGGGCAGACAGAACTCTCAGTGCAATCCTTTGCTGACTTGGGGTTTCAGCTGTTGATACTTCTGCTCAGTTTGGCACAATGGAACTCTTCTCTCAACTGTTCCATTTAGCCATTATCCACCCCAATGTCTGGCACGTTCCCATCATTTAAATCAAGTGCCTTTCCCTGTAGTCAGGAAAATATCCACCATGTGAGTAATCCAGAGGCAGGACTGGAAAATAAACAGCCCTGGAACAGGTGATGAATTTCTCTGTAGGCTGTAAAAGTTGTAAATCCCTGTTCTCTTCTCCTGACAGCTGTCCAAAAAGTATGGTCCAGTCTTCAGTGTTCAGATGGGGCACAGGAAAGTTGTGGTGATTTCTGGCTATGAGACAGTGAAGGAAGCTCTTGTAAACCAAGCAGATGCATTTGCAGAGAGACCTAAAATCCCAATCTTTGAAGATTTGACTAAAGGAAATGGTAAGTTGGTCTTATTCTTCCTAATCAGCTTGATCTACTCTTTTTTCCCCCTATAGAAAAAGCAGGAGCTGGAACAACAGATCAGAGATCTGATTTTGGATCAGAGATCACAAAAGGCATTGGAAATAGGGAGAAATTTTATTGACTTTAGCACACTTATTCAGTGTTGACAGTGGCAACAAAACAACCATAACCTTAAAAATAACTACAGCAACATAAAGTAGATAGTGACACACTTCCAGGGTCTAGAACAGAGCATCCTTGCCAGAAAAGCATTTATATCTCTCATGATATGGCTCTGAACTTGTGGGGTATTGGGCTTGTCATAGAACAACCTTTTCTGAAACTAATATTCTACTGTTGCTCATCATTTCAGTGGTAAATAGTGCTTTTAAATTCAGAATGTGACAATAGATAGCATGTAGCACATAGAGAACTGTGGATTTATTTTAAAAAGGGAAATACTCTCTAATGAGATGAGTATAAAAATAAGAATTTCACACCCAAACTTGATTCTAATTTAGCATAAGAATTTCATATTTATGTCTCCAAAGATCCTTGGAAAAATTCAGGAATAATTCTGTGAACATTTTAACAACTGCATCTTTTGGTCATATTATTGCATAGAAGCTTACTTTTTGCTTTTTTTACTAATTAGGGGAAAAAAACATAGTTGAGGTCATCAGTTAAATGAAAAGAAATTGTGTGAAAAAAATACAGTGAAAAAAATGGATGGTGGAGGTTTTAAGACATTACCTAATTTTCTAAGACATATTTTCCTACTTAATTTTTTTCCTCAAATCATCAGAGATGTTAGTTCAATTCCTCTTCCAAACTATGATGACCAGCAGTTTGAACTTGAATTTCCAATGTCCGCTTTCTTTCAGTGACAAGTGTCTTTGAGGATATATATTCTTCTTAAGATTGATTAAATAAACCTTAAATATTTATTCTTTGCTTGTGTAATGAACCTCTTGTTGAGGATTTAAAATACTTAAGGCACAGTTGTGTGGTTTTCCTCATCTGGATGCAGTTTAACTTGTTTTAAAAGTGACTCTACTAAACAGCTCCATTCTATGCTTACAAAATTATTTAAAATCTTCTGCTCTATTGAAATGCTCTCTTGGTTTCAGGGGTTGTTTTTGCCCATGGTGAAAACTGGAAGGTGATGAGAAGGTTTACCCTCACAGCCCTGCGAGACTTTGGGATGGGCAAAAAGGCCATTGAGGATCGGATCGTGGAGGAGTACGGGCACCTGGCAGAGTCCATTGCGTCCCAGGAAGGTGGGTGGCTCTCAGCACCTCTGCTGGTCACAGTGACTCTGAGATATGCACAAGCTTCTCTTTCCCAGCCTGGCTGTCAAAGGAGGAATCAGGATTCTTTTGTTCTTGTTCTCGAGGTTGTTTATTATTTCTTATCTACAACATTCTTTCTCTGGCCTGCTGAAGTCTGTCTGGCAGGTTGGGTTGAGGTGCACTGGCCACCTCGGGGAAGCATTATCTTTTATACTAAAAACTACGTGTGCATTATTTACGATAACTTCCCAATCCCTATCACCTATGTTAGACAGTGAGTTTCTACCTTAAGCCGATTCAAAAGTGTCACCATCACAGCAGAAGATGGAGGCCAAGAAGAAGAAGAAGGAGAAAGGCTGGACACACCCTGATTCCTCCATCTTGCCTCCTCAAGTCCCATTCTAAAAACCCCAAAAATCTATTTTTCACCCCGTGAGAAACTTTATTATTCTACTTAAACTTTCTTGCTTTGTAATTCTTCATATAAAGGTTGGTAATTGTTTTTCCATGGGTCAAGATCAAAGGCACAGGGGTCCTGGGTTCTGTGCCAGGGTCTCTGAGCCCCCCGGGCAGGGGCTTGAGTCCTCCAGGGCAGCCAGAGGAATTTCCTGGGTTCCGACAGGTTGGCTGTTCATTCTGCAAACGCATGGCATCACAGAATGATTTGGGTTCAAAGGGACCTTAAAGCTCGTCCAGCCCCTTCCATGGGCAGGGACACCTTCCCTTACCCAGGCTGCTCCCAGCCCTGTCCAGCCGGGCCTGGAACACCTCCAGGAGTGGGGTAGCCACAGCTTCTCTGGGCAGCTTGTGCCAGGGCATCACTACCTCTAAGGTTTTGTCCAAGTATGCAAAGGCTTTTTGAGCCTTCTCAAGTTCAGATCTTTTTAGGAAATGTACACCAGTTTGATGAATTTGGCTCCTCTGGCATTTTTGTGTCCTGCTATGGCATTCTGACATTGGATAATAATCAGTGTTAGCAATCAATCATAAACAAATAGCTATATTTAATAATAAATTTATATTTACAAATTACATCTCTTTATTACAATGTAACAAATTCTCTTGTTCCTTGTCTAGGAAATCCCATTGATGCCAGCAAAATAATTAATGCAGCAGTTGCTAATATAATTGTGTCAATATTGCTTGGAAAACGATTTGACTACAAAGACCCCAGATTTGTGAGACTTGTAACTATGACCAATGAAAATATGAGGCTTGCTGGGAAACCTTTGGTTACGGTAATGATTCACTGTTCCACTGCATGCCAATAGCAATACTGGTGATCAGTTTCTTCTATTAAACAAGAAAATCTGAGACTTTGAGAGATAATTGGTTTACAAAGCACTTTCTTAGACAAAAAATCCTTGAGAGACAGTTTGGGAATCATGAAGTCAACAATCAAACCCCCAGTCTCTCAAAAACATATTCAAGATAGAGTTTGAAGAGTCCTAGTGAGTGAAAAATACTTTTGTATGTTTGCATGCAATGCTGCCACACCCAGGATTGATTTATGTTTTTCTAGGTTTTGAAAAAGAAAAAAAATGTTAGTGGAAGAGCTGGCCAAAACAATAAAAAAAGTTGCTGGCCAACATTTCCATCTGCATGGTGGCAGCTTGAAGCTGTTTGAGCCTGATACCTGCACTATTCCAGAAAAACAGTAATTTTACAAGATTTTTACATCTATTTGGTGGTTCTTGATGAGTTTTCTACCACAATTCATCCACTCAGCTTTTCAAGTTTCTAAGAAAAAAATATCTTAAGTTTTTGACTTTGTATCTGCAAGGATGGCCAAACGTTGTTAATTTGTTTCTGTAGTGTTTTCAGAGCTCTGGCTGATAAACTCTCTCTAACAACTTCCACTCCCACAGATGTACAATATCTTCCCATACCTTGGATTCCTCCTAAGGGCAAACAAGGCTCTCCTTCGAAACAGAGATGAATTCCACGATTTTGTACGAGTTACTTTTGTAGAGTACCTCAAAAACCTGGACAAAAATGACCAAAGAAGTTTTATTGATGCCTTCCTGGTTAAACAGCAGGAGGTAACTGAGTATTTTCTTGTTGATTCCATCTCTCATGATTCTATGAAGACATTTGGAATTTTCTTTCAGTCCTTACAATTACAGCTGAATTTCTTTAGGGAAGCTGTCTTTGAGAAAATACATATGACAAAGTGGTACAGTTGAACAGATACTTCATGCTGTTGAAATTCCAACCTCTTTTAATCAGTGAACATTTATCCTTATTTATTTTCTTCAGACTGTATAAATATATTTACCAAAGCTGCATATTTTTATCTGCTCTCTCTGCTGTCCAAGCTCTTCTGGCTTTTTTGAAAACATAACACATTACAGAATGGAATCACTACCTGGGCTTTACTGGGACTTATTTGGGGTCTTTGATGAGGTTGGGTCACCTTCCCCAAAGGCAGCTCCTTTTGCAGATGGTCCCAGTAAATACAAAGATATGTCAGCACTCTCCTCCAGGCACAAGCCCAAAGCTCTTCCTTGTCTTTCACACTTTTTTAAAATATAGGATTTATATCTTAGCAAATATTTATCTACATAAACTGCATTTTTACATGGGAAAGCTTTGAGTTTTCATCCTTTTATCTTAATGACTTTTTTCAGGAGAAATCCACTACCAATGGGTATTTCCATAATGGCAACTTGCTAAGCTTGGTGAGCAATTTGTTTACTGCTGGTGTTGAGACCATTTCCACCACACTAAACTGGGGCTTTCTGCTGATGCTAAAGTACCCTGAAATCCAGAGTAAGTGGTTTAATGATAGATACTGTTACACTCAGGGAATTAGTGACCAAACAGGAACCTGGAGGATCAACACATCTGTTAATAGGCCAAGTTACAAAAAGCTGAGATTTCCAGCTTTCCACTTATTGTCTCTGTGCCCTCTGGTTCAGACCCAGTGGGCCAAAGTTCATACAGGCCAGGCCCTCTGCTTAGGGAAATCTCATTAATTAGTAAGTAAAGAGCTGTCCTGTGTTGGTCAATGATTCTATTCCAAGTTTCCCGCAGGATCTGTCAATAAACCAAAGGTCTGTGCAGATGTTAAATGAACTGTACTAAGGCTTTAGGGGCCTGAGAAGATTCATGGAATCACCTTTGTCTGGCAGCTCCATTCCAGCTGATGGTACAGGGTTGTTTGGAGTCAAATGGTGTTTTCAAGGAAACCCTTGGGCAGAACATGAATCTTTAGACAGAAGAGATGGCAGAAAAAAATCTTTAGGTTTCTTGTTGATAAAGAATCAATCAAACACTGTTGTCCTGTTCACCGCCCATTATTTCTGAAAGGAAAAAAAGATTTTTGGAGAATTTATGATTTGTACTCCAGATCTACTATACTTTACATCAGTAAAGCACACTGTGTCTCAGGGCTGAACGAGTCCTTGCATCTTAGAGTTGATTCTTTCTTCAGAAAAGGTCCAAGACGAGATAGAGCAAGTGATAGGATCCAACCCCCCGCGGATTGAGCACCGCGCTCAGATGCCATACACAGACGCTGTCATCCATGAAATTCAGAGGTATGCCAATATCCTGCCACTGGATTTGCCTCATGAGACTGCTGCAGATGTCACCCTCCAAGGCTACTTCATCCCCAAGGTGAGATGCCTACAGGATTGCTTCTTTTAACATCTCTTCTTTCTGAATTTGTCCACGAATTCATTCCACTGTCCTATTTTGCAGGGAACCTACATCATCCCTTTACTGACCTCAGTCCTGAAAGACGAGTCGCAATGGGAGAAACCAGACATGTTCTACCCTGAGCACTTCCTTGATGCCAATGGGAAATTAGTGAAGAAAGATGCTTTCATGCCTTTCTCAGCAGGTGCTTTCTCTTTTACATTTACACAGAACACACAGCAAAGATACTTCTGTGCATTCCTGCTTCATTTTCCCATGTTCCTTTTAAAAAGTCACAAAAAATGTCAGCTGGGTCAAGTTTTCATATAGTGTGACAACAGAAAATCCCCAAATTTTGTGTAAAATCAAAGGACAGAAGGGGCTTGCCCTTTGAGGCTTCCCCAGAGCATGACATTCACCTGCATTTACACACCTACAACATTTCTCAAATCATGGGAGATTCCAACCCTGCTCCTTCTCTGGCATTTCTCCTGCTTTGCTGGCTCTGTAATTGCTCTTTTCAAGTTCCCATACATCAGTCTCTGGCTAATTTATCTATCATATCCACAACACTCTCCATTTTTTTTAATCAACCCTATTTGTATATTTTCAACTCTGTATGATCTTTGAATAAGATTTTTTCTTGTCACACTCACCATCCAGTACATTGTATTTTTTTCTTTCTTTTTCTTCTTTCTTTTTAGAAGAACTTATGACACTTCCAGTTCCCAGGTCTTCTTTTCCAGACTTAAGCCTAGATGTCTCAGCTGAAGCACATCCAGGGCATGTCAGGTCTGGGCATTCCCTGGAGAGTTTATTTCATATCACAGCCATTTTCAGTCACACAAGAGTGTTAAAACCAAATTTTAGTTCAGCTTTTTGTTAGTTCTGGCCTTGAATCATGCTATGAATAAGGCAGCTTACTGGCTATTGGATTTGACAGGACTTATATTTACAGCACTTTTGAATATTCATAGAATATCTCCTCTACCTGGCTCCTCACCCCACTCTGGCCAGCATTTGTGAATCTTCAAGGAATTTGCTGACAAATTCTCGTATAAAAAATTGCCTATGAGTTGACTAATAGACCTAAAGTCTAGGCTAAACCAGTTGGTTTGGAATGCAAAAATTCACCCAAGTAGAAAAAAATTGTGAAAATTAAGTAAAAATTCAGATTTTATTGAAAACTGGAGTTAAGGAATTCAGACTACATTTCCATACATTTCTCTCCAAATGCAAGCACTTAAGACAAAGGAAAATAAAAACCCATCATCAGCTGGCTTTGGTATGGTACTTCTGAAGATCAAAATTCCTCTTTGTTAACTTGTACCCAAAAGAGTTTTAAAATCTGTGTTCTTTATTCATACCTAGGACATAACATTCAAATGTTCTGGATTCCCACTGACCTTTTTCAGGTCAAGAGCTGATAAAAGGGGTTTTTTTTCCTCCAATAGTGAAGAAGCAGCTCACTGATTCTCCTGTGGTCCTTTTGCCTTTTGTTCCAGGGAGGAGGATCTGTGCTGGGGAGACTCTCGCCAAAATGGAGCTCTTCCTCTTCTTCACCAGTCTCCTGCAGAGGTTCAACTTCCTCCCTCCACCTGGAGTTTCCAACTCAGACCTGGACCTCAGTCCTGCAGTTTCATTTAATGTCATCCCCAAACCCTATAAAATGTGTGCTGTAGCACGCTCTTAGAGCTCTAATCCACTGTGTTGCTAAAATGTTTAAATCACTTTTCCATGGCATCTGTCTTAATTCTTTTACCAAAATAATAATCCATATTTCAATTAAGGTTTCAAGTACTTCTAAACCAAAGTGGTGTTATTTTTTGGGAGAGGGCAGAAATGGACCAGAAGTGTGAAGTAACTGATGGCTCATGGATTAATCTCTTAGATCACCTAATCTTGGTTAAATAATACAGGTCTTCAGCTTTCCTGTTCTTGCTGCCATGTTCACTGTTTGTTGAAAGCATATCTCAAAAAATGCTCCCAAGGGCAGGTTTTCCCCAAAGACATATGGGCTATGAAGCTGTGCTTAGGTTGTACAAGGAGGTAAATGTAGGATGTTCAGAGTTTGAGGCTGTCAGAACAGAAGGGCTGTTTGACCTTGGCAGGCAGCTGGGTTTGAAGCTGGGCTGGATATCCTGATGTCCCCCAGTGCCTCAGTGCAGCTTCTTCCCTTGGCTCTTCTCCCTACCCCAGTTCCATGTGCAAAGAAATCACAGTTCTGTATTTGTAGATCACTTCTGAGGAAAAACCTTAAGCCAAGCTGACCTGAATCCAGGTCTTTAAGATTTTCCCTGAGTATTTCTTAACTGGATAAACTCAGTACATAAAGCGTACACACACAAGAAAATGTCTTACCTACTTAAAGCCAAGGTTTGTGAAATTGAAGTTTCAGGAGTTCCCAGGTCAAATCCCACAGCTGTGGTCACACCTCCACACATACAGATCAACAGTGAACCTTCTGGAAGAGGCCTCAAATCTCATCAAAACCAACCATCTGATCATTCTGCAGCTCTGTCCAAGAGCATCCACCGTCAAATAGAGCTAAGACCATCTCCTAAATGTCTGGATTTATGTTCCCTGGTTCATGTTACCCTGTTTATGTGTGCATGACAACCCCAAAGTAACAACACCCACAGCCAGCCTATCAGAAATCACCCAGTGTTGGGGAAAAAAGTTAAATTATTATGGCTTGCCTCTGTATCTATCCAGCACTGTAATGCAGCAGCTCATTCTTCAGTTATTATTTCAACTTCCTTTTGTGGAAGCTGAATTTGACTCCTACTCACTGCCCTTCTCCACACTTTCTTTTAAAAATAAAAAGCTTTCAAAAAGGCAAAGGTCTTTATGTGGTTCAGGAAGTTCAAAACCCACACAGTAAATCACCCTTAATGATAGCAAAGGAGTATATCTTTACTTAACCTTTTCCTAGCATGCAAGAAAATCTTTAACCCATGCTCTGGATTAAATAATTTTGGGGTAATGGTTATATCAGTAAATGCTCTCCTTGCCAAGTGATCACAAATTTGAGAAATACTTCTAAATAATTATATTCCTTTTCCTGTGGTACAGTATAAAGCAAATACTTAGTCTGGTTTTCCTGATCCTACATGGTTTAGGTAGTCCTGTGAGGAGTAGAGATCTGGACTCAGAGATCCCTACATGAGATATTCCATGAGATATTCCATGATTCTAACTCCAGAGAGGCTTTCAAGCCCTCACAGAAGAGAGATAATTAGCTTTTGTCTCATTAAGAGTAGCAGCAGCTTGTAAACAGCAGAACAAGAGTTTATGATGCAAGACAGTGTAAAGAGCACTGCTATCTTTCAGCAGGTAATTTACCTGGAAAAGTATTTCATGTTGTTTGATGTTGGTTTTTATATTAAGTAAAAAAATTGTAAAAGCAATTTTGTACATTTTATAGAAATTATTACATTTTCTTCAAAGGAGGGCTTTTGTTAAAAAATAGTAAGAAAGTTGAACAGGGGATTTATAACTGAGTATTAGATAAGTTTATTTTTACTACCTGTTTCAGGTTTAAACTCCCAAATAAAAACTACTTTGGTAGAAGACACAGCCTTTAGTGATTTACAGATAAAGAAGTGCAAATAGAATGGAATAGTTCCCTTATTCTGTAAAAACACCCAAATAACCCAGGATCCATTTCCCTCCCTTTTCCTATGACAGGATATATCATCATTAGAAGTCATCACAGGTCAAAAAAAATCCCAAAAAAATCTTGAGAGATGAACTTAAATCACTTAAGTCCCAAAATGTATCTACAAATTTATATACCAATGTTAATAGAAAATGTTTTAACAGAAATGCAGCAGTCACAAGAGGAAGGCCATTAGGAAGAAAGCAGATTCCATCCAAACTCAGCATGGAGACTCCACATATTTTGATTTCTCAAAGCAAATCCACCTTCTCATAGGCCTTTTCAGCAAGGGTTAACAAATTCTTCAGGTCAGCTGACTGCTGAATAGCATTCATATCCTTTAAAAGGTCCTTCTGATTCTTTACTTTCAAAATTTCCTCCTGAAGAAGGAAAGAATCATAGATAACAAATAAAAAAACAGCTTTTCTCTAGCCCAACAGGAATTTCACCTTCATGCAGCCCAGCTACAGCTTAAACAAAAAATGATTCAAAGTCACAGAATGAAATCTTCCCTCCAGCAATTATAGATATATTTCACAAATTGCAAGTTCCCTAGGGCCATAGAGCTTCTAGGAAAAGATAGGTGATGTTTTAAATCATAAGATCACAGAATTATTTGGGTTGGAAGAGACCTCAAAGATCAGCTTGTTCCAAGCCCCTGCCATGGGCAGGGCCACCTCCCACAAGGTTCCACTATCCCAGGCTGCCCAGAGCCCCATCCGCCCTGGCCTTGAACACTTCCAGGGATCAGGAGGGTTTTTAGAGTTTTGTCCTGGTTTTAAATCAGAAGTATTTAGTTGTCAATGAAAAGAACAAAAATATAACACAGAAAATGAAAATCTATTCAAATTTTCTGAATTTTCAGAATTGCCCCCTCTGGCAGAGGTTAAGGGGTAATAGCACATTCTGTTGCCTTCCTCCTCATAAGCAAAGTGCCTCTGAAAAGACAAATATTTATTCCACACTCACCTGCAAAGTGGGCGCCTGAAAACTGCGCTTGGGCAGTTCTGGAAGCTGGAGTGCTCCACTGCCATTTTCCTGGAATACCTAGAGAAAGAAGAAACAATCCAAACCCCCAAATATCAGGCACACAAGTATGAAAATAACCTGTCATTATCCAACTTCTGAAACCAAACTTAATTCTGCAACTTAAGTTGGAAAGATTAAGAAAATCCATTCCCAAAAGCACGAGGCCTTCCTTAAATGGTACTACCTGAGAAACAGTTTGTTTGAGAAAGCTTTGGAGTACACAAGTATTTATTTTACATATTTACTTATATTTATTTATTATTTTATACCTTCCTGGCCTCTTTTTCATCTTTCTCTAACTGGTTCTTGAGCACCTGGATTTTGTACTTCAGCTGCTGTATATTTTCCTCAATGCGCTCTGCCGATCTCTCTGCTTCATTTATTTCTTCCTAAAACAAAACCAAGACAAAACCATAAGAAAATTTGCTTTAGAAATGGTGAATCTTTCCCACAGAACACACTGAGTCACTGAAAAAACATCCAAAAAGAGACAAAGCTGTGCAGCAAAGGTGGCTGACAATGATGAGCACTGGACACTCCTCCACAACAGCACAGGCCTGATCAGCAGTGTGGTAAGGTAATTTTTTCCCTTCCTTGCTTTTCATACCTGCAGTTGTACCAAAGACTCCTCATTTGTCTCAAGCATTTTCTTCTCTGCCATTTGAAGGCCCAGAATATTCTTCAGGTTGCCCAGCTTCCCTGGAGGCACATTTAAAGTCTTGAAACTTCCCAGCACCCTTCAATTACAGAAAAAGGAAAGTATGACTTGTTTGGAGTTCTTTGCAAAGCAAAAAGAAAAATATGGGGAAAAACTAATCTCATTATAGTTTTAAACTTAAGTGCTGCCAGGGAAGTAAATGACAGCAGAGGGAAAGAAAACTGCCTTGAATTGATTTTTAAAATCATGTGGAGTAGGTGTCCGAGGAAAGAACCAGGAACAAGCAATCCCAAAATTCCCATGTTTGCTATTGCACTGACCTGACTATAACCTGACATTACTTAATATTTTCTTAATATTTTCCCAGTTCTGACCCTTCTGCTTTTCAAATTAAGTTCTAAGAGGAGGATTTTTAACTGCTTCCAAACTATGATCATTTTAGTAAAACCTGGAAATGCTTTTATGAAGCATAATATATAGCTTTCTCCATATATCTAAATCTAAATATTTAGATAGGTATATGTCAGAGGAGAGTTTTAGTTCACCCTCAAAGTATGATACAAAACAACTGGGTAGAAGAAATCTTTTCTCTCCCTCTTTCCTTTCAATTTATAATTTCTTACCTGTTTTTCAGTACATTGAGGTGCTTCTGAACATCATCTTTTCCCTCCCTCTGTTGGGACAAAACAGATCTGGAAAGAAAACACAGGCAGAATTTCCATCACAAAGAGTGCAAGCACAGAGAACATGTCAAAAACCACACTGACTTCCAGTTCAAGTAATACTATGATTTTTACTTTGTTCCTTGGGGAAATAAAGAAGAACCACCAGGGTATTTGGCACTTACAGTACTACTGAATCCACTATATTTTCCAGGAAAAGCCTACTGTTCTCTGAGAGAGGCTGCCAAGATCTTACTGCAGCACTGGACAGCTTCATTGTTTTTGAAGAACCATTTTCTCCTGTTGTCACAAAGGAAAAAAGGGAAATATGACTTGTCAAACCTGGACAGAGAGCTTTGTGACTTAGTCACACTGGAGTCAAAGGTGTAAAACAGCTCAGATTTAACAGCAAAGAACAGAGACCTACCTGCAGGGGAAGAGTCCTTCAGTTGTTTAACTCCCCTTTTGACTTTCTGAGGGATCTGCTGAAGGGAAAAATTTACAGTAAATGTGGCAATTTTGAGACATCCTCTGCTGTGCAATCATTCATCTATTCCTGTGAACTCGCTATGCCAGTGTCTGACAAAAGTCTTTGAGCACAAAAAGCCCCAAAAAGTTTTACTGAAGACTGATCAAAAGAGCTCTTCACACTGGGCATTTCCTGGAGAGGACTATTCTTAGTTAATGAATTATTCTCTATAAATTCCAATTTAAAAATGGGAAAAAATACCTCTTTCCCCTTTCCCTTCCAAAATAATGAATACCTGTCTTTTTTGACCTTGTTTTCTTCCTTGTTCATCTGCTCCCTTTTTTTCGCTAGAAGGCCCTTGTTGATTTTGTGATTTAGAAGGATTTTTTGCTGATCTCCCACCAGCTGTCTTCCCCATTTTATTGGAAGGTGTGGGACGGGGTTTCATTGTCTGTAAACCAATGGGAACAGGAGGAAACAAAGACAAAATTAAAATCCAGCAATTATAACCCATACAGTGCAAACCATACCCTATAAAAAAAAATATGGAAATTGGGCTCAACCCAATAAGCCCCAAATGAGCCTAAATGAGATGAAATGTTTGAATATTTGCTAACCTAGAGCCCAAATTCCTGTAAATTTACCGAAATGTAGAATCACTAAAAAAGCATCCCCAATTGGAAAATGCCTCTGCCCATGGCAGGGAGTTGGAAAAGATCTTTATGGTCTCTTCCAACTCAAACCATTCTGTGATTCATTTTTCTCATTTTCAGTGCAGTCACCCAATTAGCAGAACTTTTTACCCTAGCACATAAGAACTGGTGGTCTCTGATGCAGTTTAAATTTACAGTTTTTCTTGCTATAGAGAAAGAGCAAAAAGCTCTCACACGGGAGTAGCCACAAACGCCACCAACCTTCTCGTCTCTCAAGCATCACTACTCAGATTTATTCAGCTTTTCACTCACCCCCTCTGGCCACTCTCTCCTCACTCAGGTCCTGTCACTTCTCCCAGGGAAGTGTCGAAATTGACAGCAGACAAATAAGCTCCGGCCGGGTTAGTGAGGCCTAAAACAGGTAAACAAACCATATGCCAGGTTAACAAACACCACATCAGCTAAATAAGCCCTAAAACAAGCAAATAAGCCCTGCACGTCCCCTCCTCCATAACTGCCCATGTTGTGGGACAGCTTTCACAGCAGACCGCAAGTAAGGTATGGACTACAGCTCCCAGCATGCATCGCTCCCCACCGCAGCCTAGGAACTTCTCCTCCATCGCGGTGCATGCTGGGAGTTGTAGTCCTCACCCATACACCCTCACGTACCCACTGCTCGCTCCCCGGTGCTGCCGGATGGCATCATGGACAACATCTCCATAAACCCCTTCCGCTCCTCCCGGCTCATGTCGCCCCGAGCCTCACCTTCTCGATGCAGCGTCACCTTCCCGGCGCAGCCTCCCTCGCCTCAGCGCTGCCGCCCGCTCCGCCTCAGCCCGCGGGACGTTACAAAACAAACCCGCGCTTCCCGCGGCGCACGCGCAACGCCGCTCCCGCCCACCGCGCGTGCGCGGGGGCCGCGCGCCGACGGAGGGGCCGGTGGCAGGTAACTGGGGGATCCCATCGCTGATCCTGATCCCGATCCCTTTCCATGGCCCCGTCCGTGTCCGCAGCCCCCAGCCCTGCCCCTGTCCTTGTCCTTATCCCCTGTCCCAACTCCCGGCCCGGCCCTCGGTCCCCATTGGCTGCCTGAGGGGCGTGTTGGGGGCGGGAGGTGGCGGCGGGCGCTGTCCTGCGGGCGGAGAACGGAGCGTTCGTGTCCGGCTGTGGGTGCTGTGGAGAGAGAGGTGTGGAGAGGGGCTGACAGGGCGGGCATGGGAGATGGGCACAGAGGAATTGTCCGAAACTGAACAAGGGTAAATGCAGCATCCAGCTCCGGGGCAGGAATAATCCCAGCATGCCAACAGGAAGGGGGTCCTGCCCCTCTGCTCAGCCCTGCTGAGGCACATCTGGGGTGCTGTGCCCAGTTCTGGGCTCCTCAGGACAAGAGAGACATGGAGCTCCTGGAGTAGATCCAGTGCTGAGTGGCAAAGATGATGGAGGGACTGGAGCATCTCCCTGAGGAGGAAAGGCTGAGGGAGCTGGGGCTGTTCAGCCTGGAGGGGAGGCACAGCTGAGAGGGGCCCTCAGCCCTGGGTGTCCCTGTGTGCAGGGAGGGGCAGAGCAGGGCCCAGGCTCTGCTCCAGGGCCCAGCAATTGCACCAGAGCCATGGGCAGGGACTGATCCCAGCAAGTTCCACCTGGACAGGAGGCAGAACTTCTTTCCTGTGCAGTGACCGAGCACTGAGCAGAGACCAGAGAAGCTGTGGAGTCTCCCTCTCTGGGGATATTCCAGAACTGTCTGGAGACATTCCCTGTGCTCTGGGATGACCCTGCTTAAGCAGGGAGGTTGGATCAGATGAGCCACTGTGGTCCTTTCTGGCCTGACCCATCCTGTCACCCATGCAGGGGTGTGGGCACAGATTGCCTTCCATCCTGGTTGCAGCATCACATCTCTGCAGGACATGAGTGCTCCTCAGGAGCTCCTCTGTGCCCCTCAGGTTATACCACACTCAGCATATATATTATTAAAGCAAATATTTGGAGGATGTTGCTGCAATGATAGAGGTGCTTTCCTGTATCTCGTAAAGGGTTTCTCATAAAGATGTCAGGGAAGTTTGTATTTTTGGGAGTTGTGAAAGAGGTGAGAGAGTGAGGAAGTGACTGACCCTTGGAGCTAAGCTGTAAAGGTTTTGTTTTTGTAAGTGCAAGGATGGGGTATGGAGAGCAGAAGCAAAGGTGCTTACAGCTTTTGGGAGTTACTGAACTCACAGACTGGTTTGAGTTGGAAAGGACCTGAAAAATCATCTCATTTCAACCCCTGCCATGGGCAGGGACATCTTCCATTATCACAGGGTGCTCCAAACCCCATCTAATCTGTCCTTGGACACTTCCAGGGATGGGGCAGCCACAGTGTCTCTGGGCACCCTGTGCCAGGGCCTCACCACCCTCACAGGGAATTGTTCACATTGTTGCCCCATCAGTCTCATGCATGGTGGGCCAAGCTCTGCTGCTTGTACTGTCCTTGTGATCTCATATACCACTTTTTTTTTTCTCCTTTTCTTCTTTCTTTTTCAAACTATCTCTAGTTTCCAACCAGCCCAAGCCATCTTTTCCAAAGTGTATGATTATATCATCAATTTTCTGACAGCTCACTTCCTGCAGCCTGCCTCCTTGATGTTGGATACTGGGAAGAAATTCTGTGAGGCTGGTGAGACTGGCACAGGTTGCTCAGAGAAGCTGTAGCTGCCCCATCCCTGGAAAAGCATCACTCTTTGACATGAAGGAATTCCTAGATGAGAGAGATGTGAAGGTGAGGGGGTAGCTGGCCGTGCCATCTTCATGCCTCACACTGGCTTTTCAGTACTGAGTAATGACAGTGATGCTGAGGGACTGAATTAATTTTTACATCTCAGATGTGGATGTAGATAAGTTGAGGGAATGTTTTCCTTGGTTAGATGAAAATGTAGGATTTTTCCTGAATGTAGGATTTTTCTTTTCCTGGTTGAAAGGCAAGAGGAAGGGCTGTCTGTTAAATCAGTGCGTAAACACATTTCACTTTTCTCCTGAGGGATTGTTTGGGATTTAGCAAACTGCATGACCTCTCCATGCTCACATCTGCTGTTAGGTGCACATGATAATGCGAAGTGCACGTTTTTGTTTTGTCCAGCTCGTCCCACCCCGTGAGCAGAGCCATGCTGAGGGCCGGGGATGCCGTCCTGCGGCTGCGGCCGCGCTGCTGCGCGCTCCTGGCCCTGCGTGCCCTGCACAGGCAGCCCCTGCACCCCGAGTGGGCTGCCCTGGCCCAGAAGCAGCTGAAAGGCAAGAACCCACAGGATTTAATCTGGCACACCCCAGAGGGGATCGACATCAAGCCTTTATACTCCAGAAGGGACACAGAGGAGTTCCCCGAGGAGCTGCCAGGGATGAAGCCCTTCACTCGAGGGCCCTACCCCACCATGTACACGTACAGGCCGTGGACCATCCGCCAGTACGCTGGGTTCAGTACAGTGGAGGAGAGCAACAAATTCTACAAGGACAACATCAAAGGTGGGGTCTGGGAAACAGCACTGCCTTGTGAGGCAATGGGGGACATGAATTCAGGCAGTTACATGGCAAATGTGATTATTCTGCACTGTGAGTTTGGATTTCTGATAAGGTCTTCCCAGTGGTGCTGTCTTTCTTTATTACTGGGAAATGAAATCGTTTGTGGAAGTGCCTTGTTTCATTTTGCTGTGGAGAATGAATATGTTAAATGCTGGTTTTAGTTATTGCACCTTAGCACATAGACATAATTTGCATCCATGCCAGGGCTCAGGCAGCTGAGATCATGGAGCTGAAGCAGAAGTGGTAACCTGGGTTAGCTGGTAGCACAGCCCAGTCTCTGGGCAGAGGGGGGAATGCCTGGGGACAGCAGAGTTTTGGGTTCTGCTTTCAGGTTGCAGCAACAAGGGCTCTGGCTGTCCTGTTCCCTGCTATATATGAATAATTTTCTCTTACTGCAGCTTTGCAAATAACAACATGTGTCAGTGGAGCCAGGGAACAGTCTGTGGTGTTTAGTTTGTGATAAAGAGAAGGTAATTTGACAGAGTTTATGACACTTCTGCTCCCAGCTAAGCCAAGCTGAGTTATGTGTATAAGCTCTTATACTGCCTATCTAGGTGCATTTTTAACTTGTAGGTGAGCTGTTATTTAGCAATTTTTAAAGCACAGTAAGGACTACCTTTTTGGCTTTTTTTTCTCAGTTAAAAACTTCTTCATTTAAAGTTTAACCTTGGACAGGTTTGGGGAGGGAACAATGTTTAGCAACAACATTTATTTTGCCATCTAAGCCTGAATTAGGTAAAATAGAGTTAATAAATTTAAATCCCATACTAATACAAGTCTGTTCAACACCTCTAACTATCTCTCTTTGTTGTTTTTTGGATTTTTTCTTTTCTTTTTCATGTAGCTGGCCAGCAGGGATTATCAGTTGCTTTTGATTTAGCCACCCACCGTGGTTATGATTCAGACAATCCCCGAGTTCGAGGAGACGTTGGAATGGCTGGAGTTGCCATCGACACAGTGGAAGACACCAAAATCCTTTTTGATGGAATTCCTTTGGAGAAAATGTCAGTTTCCATGACAATGAACGGGGCAGTCATTCCTGTGCTGGCTACATTCATTGTGACTGGGGAAGAGCAGGGAGTGCCTCAGGCCAAGCTGACAGGGACAATCCAAAATGACATCCTGAAGGAATTCATGGTCAGAAACACCTACATTTTCCCCCCAGAACCATCCATGAGGATCATTGCTGATATCTTCCAGTACACCTCAAAGGTATTCATTGTTTAAATGTATCACTTCTATTATTAAGGTGTTTATGAGTCACTTTGGAGAACAAAGAAAAGATTGGAAGACATGTCAAGAGAAGAGTAATATGGTTGTGGAAAGGCCCAGTAAAAGTTAAGATCCAACATAATTTAAAATATAAATTTGAAGTTTGAGTCAAACTTCAAATTTCAAGCACTACAACTCAAACACATCTTTGTAGAGATATATTTGCAGTCAACAAAGAAGTCAGAGAGTGGGCAGGAGACAGGCTGAGAGAGCTGGGGGTGTTCAGCCCAGAGAAGGCTCCAGGAAAACCTCATTACAGCCTTTCAGTACCTAAGGAGGGGTTTATAAAATAGATTGAGAGCAAACTTTTACACCAATAGTGACAACTTCCTTCCCTGTGAGGGTGGGGAGGCCCTGGCACAGGGTGCCCAGAGAAGCTGTGGCTGCCCCATCCCTGAAGTGTCCAAGGCCAGGTTGGAGGGGCTTGGAGCAACTTGGGATAGTGGAATGTGTCCCTGCCCATGGCAGGGAGTGTTGAAACCAAATGACCTTTAACTCCCTTGCAGCTCAAACCATTCTGTGATTCTGTGTTAATGTGATAGAACAAGTATTTGATCCTCTCTTCTGCTGTTATATCCTGTTGTATCTTTTGGTGTTTTTCTTTTTTTTTTTTTGCAGTATATGCCAAAATTTAATTCCATTTCCATCAGTGGGTACCACATGCAAGAGGCAGGAGCTGATGCCATCCTGGAATTAGCTTATACCATAGCAGATGGCTTGGAGTACTGCAGAACTGGCCTTAAAGCTGGCCTCACTATTGATGAATTTGCACCTAGGTGAGCACAAGAAATTTGCTAATATAAAACTCACTCTTGGTAAAACTTCTATAGAGTTTAATATCAAATTGAGTATTTTTATACATATAAGCAAGTAGGAAAGTACCTCATCTGTGAAAGTACCTTAATCAGAGACCTTGCTGTCAGACTCCTCCATTACTGATCCAGAGTTATCTGAATGATTCAATGTTACATTCTAATCATGTTCTCCTATTGCAGGCTCTCTTTCTTCTGGGGAATTGGCATGAACTTCTATATGGAAA